GTATACTTTGAGTGAAATTGTTCCTATTTGATTAATGTTTGGCTTGAATTGATGATTCAATCACAAAAGTAAGTTCAACAATTTTCCCTTGGAAAATCCCTTGTTTACAGAACTTGATTCGACCTCTGCGACAATTCTGTGTTGGATACAGTACTTTGGGACATCTTGTATTATTCCTTACTGCATTGTACACAACATCGATATCTCACCTGTATAGGGTCATTCCCTTTTTGTGTGGATGTAGATTGTCCAACAGACTTGCGTCTGGCACACTTGCGTCGAATCCCGACATCACGATCAAAGTCCGATCGTACGTGTCAAAAACTTCGTACTTGAATAGTTTCTTTTTGGAACGTAAAAACTCATATTTTGTCTTATCCCAACAGGACCCCCTATATGGATCTCTGTGAGCTCCGTTCTCATTACCATGATGGAAGCAATGGGTTATGGCTTTGAGTGCCTCTCAGTACTGGAGTCACAGTTGGTCACAGCCCCATGCTTCTGCTTTGTCAACGACACCGACGTCATTGAGGCTGGCAATACAGTCCATCACTCGGGTGAAGCCATATGTGCATCGATGCAGGACGCCGCCACCCTGTTGGCTGGGGGAATCCGAGCCACTGGCGGTGCGATCAACCCCAAGAAGTCCTTTTGGTGGCTCATCAATTTTGAGTGGGACTCCCGCACAGGCAAATGGAAATTTTGTGGGAAAAAAGCAGTCGCTCCCAACTTTGAACTCCAAATTCAAGGTCTTTCAGGTGCTACTGAATCCCTACGTTGCCTGGAACCAGATGACTTGGAACGCACTTTGGGAGTTATGCTTGCTCCCTTGGAAAACCTTGAGGCCCACAAGGCTCAGATGGTTGCTAAAGCCAAGGATTGGGCAGAACAGCTTCGACCCAACCTGCTTCAGAAATATGATGTCCTCCCCCTCATCAAGTTGACCATCATGAAGAAATTGGAGTATCCGATGGCGCTAACAACTCTGGATGCCCAGCAATGGACAGACATTATGTCTCCGGTACTTCAAGTGTGCCTTCCGAAGGCGGGTGTCTGTCGTAATTTCCCTTGGGATGTCATATTTGCTCCGCTGTCCTATCAGGGTCTTGGACTTCCACATCCGTTTGGTTGTCAAGTGTTTAAGCATCTTGAGATGTTGCTCTGACATATGGCCAACAGGACCACAACGGGGGACTATATGGAGGCCAACATCCAAGCCCATCAACTTGAAACGGGGACAACCTTTGGACTTTTCCAACAAGTCTACACCAACACGGCGATCCTTGCTTCAGACACGTGGATGAAACGAGTCTGGTATGAGCTTGAAGGTTTGGACATCTATGTCGCCTACAACTCTCCAGCCCTCTCCCTTTGATGTACGGACGACTCTGCTGGTGGATCTCTTCCTCAACCTGGAGGTTGACCAAGATGATCTCCTCTGGCTCAATTGGTGCCTAATGTTCCTCCAGGTATGCACAGTGTCTGACATTGTCACCGCTGATGGCAGGTTTATCCGTCGTGCCGCTTGGAATGGAATCAGGGATGAGTGCTGCCGCTCACCATATCAATGGCCACGGACCGTTCGCCCAACCCGCCAACACTGGGACTTGTGGCAGACCACTTTATCCCAAGCCCTGCTTGCCTCCAATGGGCCACATCACCCACTCCGGCAGCAATTGGGTCACTGGACTGATCCTCTGGAGGACCGGAATTGGTTGCTGTCACCCACCACAGGCCTCTTCCACCGCCTTGGGGCAACCTGGAGACATTTTTCTCCTGAGGGTTCCTCCACCATGTCACGTCGCTTTGCACCATCGCCTTCACCTCACTCCAGTCCATGGTGGACCGCCCCTCTCCCCACCAATATTCTTTGTGCCACGGTCCGTTCCATTACTGGGTCTGACAGCGTGCTTCTCACCGGTACTGGTTGTCCCTCAGAAACGGCCCCTACCACCAGCCCATCCATCCTCCAAGCTTGGCAAACGGCTGCAGAGCTTTGCACGGACTACTATGGGTGGGTTCCAGACGAGATCGAGATTCATGGTGACAAAGCTTCCTTAGTTGCTGCCCTGTTGGAAGGTCACCTTCGCATGATCAGCAATAGATCCTTCAAGAATGAGTTAGGGACCGCAGCTGTTCAACTCCTGGTGAAGTATGCAGGGTCAGATCGTATCACCATCCGGTGTCAGACCCCGGGTTTGCCCCAGGATCAGAGCCCATACCACAGTGAACTCATTGGTCTGATGGCCGGTATCATGGCAATTGATTGGCTCCTCCAGCTCCAGCAATGGGCCCCAAATCTTTCAACACGCCCCACGGTGCGGATTGCTTGTGACGGTCTCTCTGCCATTGAGATAGCTTTTGAAGATCGCCCACTTTCTCCCACTCACGCTCAGTTTGACTTGGTGTCATCCATTCGGGAAGCTGTCCTTTGGTCCTAGGTGGATTGGTCGCCCCAGCACGTGTACGGCCATCTTGACAAGTCCAATCTATTTGACAAATTGTCTTGGTGGAAGAAAAGGAATCTGGAAGTTGATGGAATGGCGGTGGATTACCGTAAAGAACTTGAGGCGGCTAATCATCTCATAGCCCCCATTCCTTGATTCTTTACTGAAGTTGCGGCGCTTTACGTGGCAGACACCAGACAGTCACGTCTTGATCCTCAGTTTATCCAAGAGTGCGTGACCCTGCCCGCTCTTTGTTTGCGCTGGAGGGACAAAGGTACTATCTCCGCCAAAGCTGAGTCTGAGATCGCCTGGGACACACTGGGTCGCGCCATGCGATCTCTTCCTGCAGGACTTCAAAGGTGGTCTACTAAACACTGCGTGGGTATGTGTGGTACAGGTAAATCCGCGCTGTGGCGCCTTCAAGGACCATCTCCATGTTCCCCGTTGCTGCGCTACTTTGGCCACTGCAGAATGGGATTGTTGCATTGCAGCCTTCTCCGCGTGGCTGGATCAGCAATTGACGGGCCCTTCCATCAAACACGCAATCCTACAGCTTCTTCATGGCGTGTACGGCCATCTTGACAAGTCCAATCTATTTGACGAATTGTCTTGATGGGAGAAAAGGAATCTGGAAGTTGATGGAAAGGCGGTGGAGTACCGTAAGGAACTTGAGACGGCCAATCATCTTATAGCCCCCAACCATCGTTTCTTCACTGAACTTGCGGCAATGTACGTGGCCGACACCAAACAGTCACGCCTTGATCCCCAGTTCATCCAAGAGTGTGTGACTCTTCCGGCCCTACGATTGCGCTGGGGGGACAAAGGTACTATCTCCGCCAAAGCGGAGTCTAAGATTGCCTGGGACACACTGGGTCGCACCATGCGATCTCTTTCTGCAGGACTACAAAGGTGGTCCTACTAAACATTGTGTGGGCATGTGCGGCACAGGCAAATTTAATGTTCTATGGGGTCTGGAGACATCCGCAGCTTGCCCACGCTGCAGCGACTTTGAGGATCATCTGCACTTTCCCCGCTGCCGCGCTGCTTTGGCAACAGCTGAATGAGATCGTCGCACTGCAGCCTTCTCCGCGTGGCTAGACCTGCAATTGACGGGCCCTTCCATCAAAACAGCGATCCTACAGCTTCTTCAGGGCGTTTGCACACCTCCTTCATTTCCTCCGAGGACCATCTCCTCTTTGGTTTGGCCGGCCTTCTTGGCTCAGCAGGTGATTGGGTCTCAAGGCCTTTTGGAGGGACGCATCGCCTTGTCTTGGCTTCCACTCCAACAACAACAGTATGACAAGATAAGATGTCGACGATCTGTCTCTCTTTGGGCGTCCCGCCTCTCACAACAGCTGATCTCGATCGGCTTCTACATGTGGGAGCAACAGAACTCCGGTCAACATTCGGATGATAACGTTCAACTACGTGAACGTCACAGTACTGTCAATGAGGGGATTCACTCACAGTTTGATATGGGGCCCGATGACTTGCCTAAGGAAATTCAACTGATGCTAACAAGCCGTCAACGAGTCCTTCGCAAGTCCTTGGTGGACAAGGGAGAGTGGCTTAAGTTGCTTCGTCAGAAGCGCAGAGATTTCTGTTGCTCCATGAGAGCACAACGCCGCAGTTTGCGGACTATTTTCTCCCCGGGACCCTGACCAACTTTTTGCAGGACCTTACATGCCCCAAATTCACCGCGCCACGTTGCAGGAGAAGTCTTTACCCCTTTGGGAGACTTGAGCAACTTCTGTTCAAAATACAGATGCCTCACATGGTTCAAACTTGTTGTTGACTCATTGCTTCACAGTACTTGACCTTTACAGCCAAATATTTCACCGGCAATCAAATGCCCACAGAGTAGCATATTAACGATTAATGTCTCAGTTATTATTATTAGTTGTTGTGCACACAACGACAATCAACTCTGGGGGTGCTGGGAAGGACTGCGGGAAGTTGTACTCACAAATGTACAAAATCCAGAACAAGTTTCAGTTGATTTAAAATAAAAACAATCTGTGTGCCGCTGCCTGACTTTGAACGCAGCAGCTATAAAACCTTTGAGATTGATGAACCAGAGGAAAGAGGTAAAACTCTGGTCTTCAACTGTAGGTGTCGGAAAGGACTGGGCCGGATCGCAAGTGTGGGTGTTGCGGTGGGCCAAAATGCCAATGAAGTGGCAAAGATTTGTAAATGTGCTTCTGAAGGAAGCAGAGGTTGTTTTTCTGAGGGAAGAATGGCGGCAACTAGCTGATGGCGTAACTGCGACTGTTAATCTAACAGAATATTATTATTCTTAGGTGAGGGCTCCAGATTACACTAGAAGATAAGATATCAATTAAAGGTAAACAAAACATGACGCGATGAGTTGATCAGAAATTGGCGAATGTTGATGGATGGTTCTCAACGTTCTCATCCAACAACACGTCATCATATCTATTATTATACTAATTACTAGAAAACCCGTGAAACTGTTTGTGTGCGAACTGTATTGGTCCAATATCATGAAACCTTTCATGATATGATTCTGTCATAAAGCAAAATGAGCTCTATATATATAACTGATGCATCAATCGTATTAAAACTATCTCAAGTTTCTAGATTGCCGTGAACGGCTGTCATGGCCATTTACCATACGGAGGTGAGTCCAGTACTGTTGAACCAGTGTGAGGCATCCAATCCCAGGGGAGCTGCTCTCATCGGATATTACATTGCACCCTTGCACATGTAGAAACGATCTTGCCACTTGGGGCGGCGTATTTTTATTTTGTTTTTTGAGTTTTTTTAAGGTGATGGTGGGCATGATCGTGTAGCAGGTGGGAAGCCAATTGTTCTTGCGCCCTAATGCCCTGGGCATATCGATGGCACAGTGTTCCAGAACAAGGTGGCGACCATCTACATGACAGACTGTAGTTCCCTAGTCCTGTGGTCGACAGAGGGAGTGAAACATAGAGGGACAGAGAGATGGCCAAGACATCTGACTGTTTATGGACTAGCGCCGGTTGGCCGAGTTGATGTTGGGTTGGCGGGTCGCGCCAGGGCAAAGATCATCTGGCGTTGCCTGGCTAGAGAGCAACGGTTGATCGCTCTCTCACAGGAGACAAGGCGCAGCCAAGTTGACGATCTTTGAGTGATTTGTTGAGGACAGTTTCGCGAGAGTCCCGAAAAAGGTACTGCAAGCGTTGGGGGATATCCATCAGGCCCATGGCGAACTGTTCGCGGATGCCGATGTCAATCTCCCGCTTGCGAGCCGTGTACCAGGAGCTGTCTTCAGAGTGGGCAAGCCGGTTGCGGTCTTTCCACATGTAGTG